TTTTTTTTTTTTTTTTTTTTTTTTTTTTTTTTTTAGTGCCAGACCCGATGGAGTGTTGTTTCTGGTATTTCTATTATTGATGTAATAATTAATAGAACTCATGGGGTTATCATTTAATAGTTCCATTAATAACATTTTAAATGTCTTCATTTTCCATCGTAACCTATACCAGTCAAAAGTTTGGAATAATTATGATTTTTTTTTTTAAATGTTTATAAAAGAAGTCTCTTATATACTCACAAAGACTGCATTTATTTGATCAAAGATAAAGTAAAACAGTAATATTGAAATAGTGAAATATTATTACAATTTAAATAATTTCTTTCTATATGAATACATGTTAAAATGTAATTTATTCCTGTGATGCAAAGCTGAATTTGTCTGCATCATTACTCCAGTCTTCACATGTCTTCACCAGTGTCACATGATCTGTCACAAATCCTGCTTATAAATATGAAAAATATGAAGAAGCACAATTGTTTTCAACATGGATAACAACCAGAAATGTTTATTGAGCAGCAAATCAGCATATAGAAGGATTTTATTTTAAATTATTTATTAGTTACTTAATATTGTAATAATATTTCACCATATTACGGCTTGAAATGCAGCCTGAGCATAAGAGACTTCTTCAAAAGCATCAAAAGATCTGAATTATTCAAACATTTGACCATTTAGTCTCATGGAATTGATACTCTATTGCTATTAAAATGATTAACATATTGTAATTATTAACAAATTAAAATATAGGCCTATATATACATTCATAGAATTATATTGTGTGATTCAGATGTATCGCTTCGATTAGAATGTTACGAAAGAGAAGAGTTAGAATATTAAAAGAAATGTTATTTGAATTTACCAGTCAATATTTAATTGTTTCACTTAATTGTCAAAATGCATGACTAGAACAATGGTCTATTATTTAATTTATTGGTTATTATACAAAAAATACAAAATAAAGTAATATATATTCAACCACAGAATGCCATGGCTGAGCAATTATGGCAAGTTATGTAATGAGCATATGTCACACACACACACACACACACAAAGCTGTCCAGCTCTCTCTCTCTGTCTGTGTCTGTGTGTGTGTGTGTGTGACATTGGCATTCTGTGGTTGAATATATATTACTTTATTTATTTATTTATTTTGTATAATAACCAGTAAATTAAATAATAGACAATTGTTCTAGTCATGCATTTTGACAATTAAGTGAAATAATTAAATATTGACTGGTAAATTCAAATAACATGTTTGTGATTTATGAGGACACAAATTTGTATAATGACATGGGTAGGACATAGGTATTACAACGAGAAGGTGATTTATGAGGACATTTGAGTGTCCCCATATTTCAAAAGGCTTATAAATCATTCAGAATGAGTTTTTTTGAAAATCTAAAAATGCAGAAAGTTTCCTGTAAGGGGTAGGTTTAGGTGTAGGGTTGGTGTAGGGCAATAGGAAATATGGTTTGTACAGTATAAAAACCATAACGCCTATGGAATATCCCCACAATTCACAAAAACAAACCTGTGTGTGTTGACTGCTGAAGGTCGTCGGGTCAGAGCAGATCTTTCTCTACTGCTGCTACACAATATCAGCTGTAAAATCACTTCAGCTGGACACTGACACCTCACAGTACGGCTGAAACACCTCCTGCAGTGGAACTCAGCTAAAGGTTGCACTGTGCCATGTTAAGATCCTGTCATATTAATTGACTTGAAAATATTACGATATTACAAAACATTATTAAATCATTATAAATACAGTTTTGGTCTCTGTAGGCTATTTAATCCATATTTGATCCATAAACGTAGGCTACTGTAAAATTGGAAATATATTTTATTGCCCCAGAATACATTTTAAACATATTTTAGTATATTTATTTATTTATTTAGTCATTTAGCAGACGCTTTTATCCAACGTGACTTACAAATGAGGACAATAAAAGCAGTCAAAACTAACAAAAGAGCAACAATATATAAGTGCAAATGACAAGTCTCGGTTAGCCTAACGCAGTACACGTAGCAAGGTGTATATATATATATATATATATATATATACACCTTGCTACGTGTACTGCGTTAGGCTAACCGAGACTTGTCATTTGCACTTATATATTGTTGCTCTTTTGTTAGTTTTGACTGCTTTTATTGTCCTCATTTGTAAGTCGCTTTGGATAAAAGCGTCTGCTAAATGAATAAATGTAAATGTAAATGTAAAGATAAGTGAATGAGTACTGTATCATAGCAAATGTAATCTAAATGTAATGGGGGAAATAAGCATGCAAAAATAAATATCCAACATAGACTATAATGTTAAATTATATTTATTTTAAAATAATACAATATTATTTAAATTTCACTGTAAAAATTTGAGCCAACTTCACTTTTTTTAATTCACTGCCTTAAAATTCTGTTAACTTGACAATTAATTTCTTGTTGAAATTTATTTTAGATTGTAGTCAACCGTTACTTCATTTGACTTAAGTATTATTAACTAATCCAGTCAACAAATGTTTGTTATTGTAACAAGTGAAACCAAGTCAACTGGAAAAAACATTTGTTTTAATATTCCTAACATTAGTGTCACAGTTTCTGTTAGTTTGGACTTTGTTTTAAGTTTCTGAAAAAATAGAAAGCTAGTGTTTGTTTGTTTTTTGTTGTTGTTTTTAATAAAAAAATTAAAAAAGAAGATAAATATAGATAAAGTAGAATTAAAATAGAATAGAAAGTGCTAGAGTATGATATGAAAAGTTGAAACAAAATATATTATAAATTTCTAAACATATTTCATTGAGGTTGTATGTGTTCTGTAATGTCTTGTTTGGTACTTCATTTAAAACTAAAGGTTTAAGGGGGGGAAATGAATTGTTAGATGTCCGATAATCTGCATTGAAAAAAAAAAACCAGACAGCAGATGGCGTCTTTGAGCAACCTGACTAAAAAAAAAAACATGAGAAAAGAAAAGAAATACTTAAATAAATAAATACTTTTTTTTTAGAACTGCAGATGAACAATTGCTGCCTGCTGTTGAGTTTTCATGCTCAGTCACAGAACCTGTTTTATACCTGTTGCCAAAATACGTGAGGCTATTTATGTATTTTACATTTATATGTATGCATTTAGCAGACGCTTTTAATAATAATAATAATAATAATAATAATAATAACAGCAACAATAAAAGAAAGAAAAGAAGAAAAATGGTAAAATCGCAGAATGCATTAAAATGAGTATCTGTAAATTTCTTCGTAACATGCATAACACATAAGTAAGTGCACACACTGAAATGTTTATGACTTGCAGGATGTCTGAAAAATGAGGCCACAGGGTGGCGAGATGACTCCATGAAAAACCCCTCCGCTTCAGCTTTACAAAACACATTAATGGAAGGCTTGAAAGCACTTGTCTCTACTAAATTCACATGAAGAGCTTGCAAATACTTGACTTTTCTCTTTGTGTGGTTATGTTTTCTCCTTGATGTGAATCAAAGTGTCATTAAAAGTAAACGTATCCGATTAAGATTAAAGGAGAGAGCGGCCCATATTATTCCTAAATATGTTCTGCTTGTAAAATAACACAGCGTAAATGCATCTTCACACACAATAGCACATCCATGAATAGCACCCGTGAAACTGGATTCTTGCGTGAAGAAATAGCCTAAAGTAAATGCGTGTCGGTGATGCTGATTGCCTTTAGTCCTACACATGCATCTGTGGAATAACCCGCAACTGCAGCGAGCGCGCTCTTATTTCATCTCCAGGAAAACTATATTCAGTATTCATTACTATAAAACATTCTCTGGAGTTCTTCAGGTCAGTTATTAAGATAAAGCCAGTCAAAGCATATGGAAACCTTTAGTAGTAGTAGTAGAAATAATAATAAAATGATGTGCAATAGAAAAAAAAAATCTCTGGGAAAACAATT